GGCTAAACAACTATTAACACTCTGTGATGGAGTTTGAGTCGTGAGTTATAATGAAAGAAAATAGCTTGTCATTCATTTAAGTATGTAACTTTGATTTATAAAAAGATAAATTTTAGTTTAGAGATAACTTTTAATTAAGAAAAAATATAAATCAAACATATAAAGAACATTATTATTTGTTTATTATATTGATTAAAGAAAATAATATGAAATAAAATGTCTCTTTACTATTTAAGAAAACATGTTATGACTATAAACCAACAGAGTTCTGTTCTTTAAAGGAGGCCTTTGGAGGTCAATGTCAAAGACAGGTGGAACGTTTATTCCACACCTAGGTGACCACTACATATATTAACGACAAGTTTTATACTTCCTACATTTTGTGATGTCACAAGCCGTACRACAACCCACCGGAACCAGCGTTCAGCCCCTCACTTAGCAACCCCCGGGTGAAGCTCCACCTCCTCAGTATAAAAAGTCATCACGGTTGTTGTTGTGTAATGCACAGCTCATTTCACAACAAGCTTCCAATAGGGCAATGGGTAGAGTGTTGGGCAAGAGAACGGGAGACCAGGGGTTGAGACCGGCAAGGGCACTATTTCATTATTTATTTTCATTCGTTAAGAACACATTTTCTCATGTACCTCTATTGTTTAGCTTATTAAAACCTTGTTAAAGCCTATTTGTTCGAGTTTCTGAGGTATTTTGACCGCTGCTGCTCCCTGCTCTGGTAACAGCATGCAGAGTGAGGGCAGAGCAGAGGAGGGAGAGAAAAAAGAAGAAGCTGCGACCACGACTCTGCCTCTGGGTCTCTCATATGGTTGTACAGTGAAGCTTCTGCTATTATTAGCCATGCTAATGTAAACGCTGGCTTTGGAGGGCGGAGTTAATGTCAACAGATTTTTGGAGGGCGTTACCAACAGAGCTCATTAACATAAACAGCTCTTCTGAATGGAAGTCAGAGCAGGCAGAACTAGAAAATGGGAAATTTTATTATCCGAGAATTACTGTACTTTGTGCATTAAATTGAAAGAACATGGTCTGGATACCCCACAGACATACTATAAAAATTTCTAGGACCCATAATTGGTCTCCTTTCAAAACAACACATAAATAAGAACTATGATGAACCATTAGGGTGAGGAGCGATGTATGACATCCTGATTCCATGTAGAGACAGCTTGCCCCTTTAATATATGTCAGGAGGTGGAGTCAGGACGTGAAGAAGGCTGTTACTTGATGGGTTTTTCCGGGTTTCTAGGCACTGTTTTGTTGATGCCTGTTGAAGGCACATAAAAAGCTAGACAGTCCACAGCTGTGTCCGAATTGTTATGTATGGCTCACTCAAGCATTCACGTCATATATTATTATGTGGTATCAGATCAGAACAGGTAAAGGGTAATGAACACTATTTCTATTTTAACAAAATGACAACAATTTTTCATTTTTATAAAGGTATTATAGAAACTTATCAACTACAGAGCACCATCTGAAAACCATGAACTAAATTCTAAGTTTATTAGTCTGAATAATTATAGGGATGTTGACATTTTGTCAGCAGCTGCTGCCATTTTCTTCCCAAACTGCTGTGACCAGATTTTGCAAGGCTGCTCGGTGTGTTTGCTTATAATTTCCTCCTGCTTTGTTATTTCTTTGAGTTTCTACAAAGCACGCTGATGTCAGGTAGTTAGCTACAGCCTCGTCTTCGAGTTTTTAATTTTTGTTGATGCGTTTCGAAGAGAATTTTTTGAAAAAAGGATCAAAGTAAATCACCCAAGTTTTTCTATTTAAATAGATAAGCTGCCATGAAGAACATTATTTTACCTGCCCTTGTTCCAAATTTGATTATGATTTGAAACGTCGAAGTATGTTGTTTTTAAATTCGGAATAGTGCTTGTTAGCAAAGTGTTTTGACGTTCATCTTTGTCACTTGACATTTAACACGCTGTCATTGGTTGAGGAGCTTTGTTTACAAAACAGATGTCCACATGGTTTTTAAATTGTTTTAATTTCCTTACTTTCTAAGACACATTAAGTTGATTTGATACTGCAGTTTGCTTTGTAATATTATTTTATACCTTTCCTGCTACTTTTGAATTGGCTATTAAGTTTTATTAGGTTTTTTAGGATACAAGATGCTTCCTACAAAAACCAGAATGTGAATCTTTTCCTAAAATTTCATGGCGATATCTTGAACACTGAGGAAGTTATGAGCAAAATTAGAAAACAGCAAGGTGAAATGGTCACAAAGGCCCCATTGTTCCGCAGTGAACTGCAGCAAGAAAACATGAGCTGATTTCACCTAAACAAACATCAACAACTTCCCTCATACTTGGTTGTCTCCACAACCACCCATGGTTTCCAACTCCTTGTGTCTGAACCAGTACCAGTTTTTGTGGAAGAGCATAACATGCAGATGCAGCGGGGCTTTGCTCAGCGGACGGTCGGAGCTTTCAGCAACATGCAACGCAGCGTTGAACAACATGGAGTCAAACACAACAACAGCCTGAGTGGATACTCGCAGGCCGTCTATGGTTTGCTTGTTTTGGACGAGGCGGCGCTGAAAGACTCTCTGACCAAGATGGAGTCATTTTTGGGCAGAGTCGGGTCGCTGGTGGCTGAGGGTGTGGCTCGCTGTCAGGAGAAGGTGCAGCAGCACAAAGCTTTGTGTCCAAAGAACAAAGAGATTCTGCTGCAGCTGCTGGAGGAGCATCAGCAGGACATGGACAGCGTCCTGGCTGTTTGGACTCTGAGGGGTTTATCAGTTGTTAGAGAGCTTAGTGATTCGCTCCAATTTTCTGTGGAGAAGCAGCAAGCTCTGGTCCAAAAGGTGGAGGAGATGAAAGAGATTGGATTGTTTCTCAGTAGTTTGGTTCAGGAGCTGGCTAATCTGCGTGAGACTCATGGTCAAGAGGTGAGTGCCCTGCAGGCCAAACAAGACAAGCTGGAAGTGGAGATCCTACAAGCCCAGGAGAGATATCAGCTGGGTACAAAGCAGACCATGCAGTGCCCTCAGGACCAGCTCACTCTGCAGAATCTGCAGACTCAGCAGGACTACACTGATCTGCACTCTTCCACAAAAGATCTGGAGATTCCCGCTCTGAGCTCAAGCAGGGCATCAGCAGTGGTTGCAGCTCAGTAGAGAATCAGATTTCAGCCCAGGCAGACCTCCTGGTTTTGATTTTGATTTTTTTACACATGATTTTGGTGTTATTTTGTATGGTTTGAAATGTTCTTTTGGAATGCGCTGTCAGATTTAATATTGGTGTAGGATTTAAAAAATTATCAACATCCCTAATTATTCATAATTTGACAAAGAAATGTCCGCAGCAGTTTTCCTCAGATTAAAATGTAGTAAAAACTACCTAAAATTTAGTTTAACTATTGTAACATTTGAGGAGTATTTACAGATTTCTGACCTGAATGAAGCAGATAAAGAGGAGTAATGAGATGCTCTCCTTCCAGTTTCAAGGGGAATCAGATCGTGCCGTCTGTTTATCGGTCCCCGGAACAACAAAAACACGCGCGAAAGTTCCGCCTACCATTACCAGACATACTAGATGCAAATGTGTCCAGCATGTGATTGAAATTATTTTTTTTGATTGAAGACGCTTTTTGTTTGATTGAAAAATAAAAACACAAATTTACCTCCATACTGATTCTCTTCTTTGCACGATCAGAAATGATTTCTAGTTAGAGGAAAMTGTTGAATKAAATGGAGATTGAGTGGAAAAAAGTCTAAATAAGTAATGAGGTGTAAAAATGTGTTTGCCACACGCAAAGGAATAGTGTGTGTGTGTGTGTGTGTGTGTGTGTGTGTGTGTGTGTGTGTGTGTGTGTGTGTGTGTGTGTGTGTGTGTGT